GCAATGAAAATAAATACATCTTTAAAAAAAAAAAAAACAGTTAACGTTAGCATGATTTAAAAAAAAAATACTTGGGCGTCCTGAACCAGCCACATAATGCAGAGCTCTGCTTTTAGCTCCAAATAACTCATAGTGCACACTGGCTGGGGGAAGCCTGAGGGAGAATTGTGGACAGCGAGTGCAGTGTGTGTTAGTAGTATGATGAGGTTACAAAGAATAGACAGTCTGATGACAGTTTCAGAGAAATAAAGCGTCCCAAGCAAGAGTCTTCATAGTCCTGCTGTGATCTGTGACCACACACTATGTATTTCCACACATCATGCTTCACTTCTAGCCAGAACACTCTTCTTGACAAGCTAGAATGAATCCAGGGAAGGGTGGCTTGAACAGATGGATTTCAGAACCTTGTCTGGATCGAGTTGAAAGTTGGGCCACAGATACTGGGACATGAAACCATTGATAGGCCATGAGAGCAGCCACGGGAGTTGGAAAGCCTGTCACAGAAAGATGGATTAAACTACTTCCACGCAACTTGAGGACCTATAGTTCAAGAATTCCAAGAAGGCAGACTACTTGGTGAAAGGAAGACAGCCCTCCCTGTAAGGAACAAAGGCTTCAAGGGGGTTGGTTGCCCCGTATTTAGGCCTTCCCAGGGCACCAGTGGTTGACCAAGGTTTGGAGGGTCCACTCAAGGAGGCATGGCATAAATCGCCTTTCCCAAGCTCAGGGCAGGGTAACTGACCTTGCCGGGGCAGCTGGGCTTTGGGCTCAGGACACGAGCAGACACTGCTCTGAAGCCATTGGCCTTGTTGCAGGAGAGGCAGATAAAGGCAGCCAGTTAACACTGGCACGTCAGTTGTGGTTTTTTTGTTTGGTTTGGTTAAGGTGGTTAAGGTCCTTGCCTTGCACGCCCAGGATCCCATATGGGTGCTGGTTCTAATCCCGGCAGCCCCGCTTCCCTTCCAGCTCCCTGCCTGTGGCCTGGGAAAGCAGTCGAGGACTGCCCAAAGCCTTGGAACCCTGCACCCGCATGGGAGACCCAAAAGAGGCTCCTGGCTTGGGATCGGCATGGCATTGGCCGTTGCGGCCACCTAGGGAGTGAATCATCGGACGGAAGATCTTCCTCTCTGTCTCTCCTCTGTATATCCACCTTTCCAATAAAAATAAAATAAATATTTTTTAAAAAAATTAGATATACAGAGAGGAGGAGAGACAGAAAGATCTGTCTGGTGATTCACTCCCCAAGCAACCAAAACAGCTGATGCTATGCTGATCCGAAGCCAGGAGCCAGGAATTTCCTCCAGGTCTTCCATACAGATGCAGGGTCCCAAGGCTTTGGGCTGTCCTCGACTGTTTTCCCAGGCCACAAGCAGGGAGCTGGATGGGAAGTGGAGCTGCTGGGATTAGAACAGCGCCCATATGGGCTCCCGGGCGTGTTCAAGGCGAGGACCTTAGCTGCTAGGCTACCACGCTGGGCCCTATCAGTTGTGTTTTGAATACCCACTATCTCACAGCCACTATTAAATCCTCCTTCGGCATCATGTCATTTTCCTTTTAATGATCCCCTGGCTACCTAGTCCTATCAAGCTTGGAAAGAGTTAAGCCATGTGCCCAACGTCATCTAAAACTCCGTTTGCTGCAATGTGCTCTTGACCCCACACTCCTAACAATCCCAAGTGGGTGTGGGCCATGCCTCCTTGGAGATATCGCTCCCTCCCAGCACTAAAGCTCTGCCTTCCCCCTCCACTGACAATTCAGGGAGAAAACAGCCCAGCTGAGAAATTAGGCCACGCTGCCTAGCACACTACTTATTTTTTTATGACTAAGATTAAGCTGACAACCACGCAAAACACTGCAAACCTATATCGGCTGCAGATTTAATACCTCACCCAGCCCACACAAATAATTCATGCTTCTGCATCGATGTCCAGAAAAGACAAATCAGCAAAAAGCAGGGCTCCTGCGTGTGTGTGTGTGTGTGTGTGTGTGTGTGTAGAGCAGCCACATTTCCACTGAAGTGGCGTGCCGGAAATACCCCAGCTCCAGGACTGCAGATCTAGCATTTTGCGATTTTTTTTTTTCTCTTCAAAGATTAAAGTACGTTTCAACTGATTGAAGGTTAGTGGGAGGTGTCAGTGTGGGCACTTGTCACGTTATTTCTTCAGATGATTAAATTATTTTCCATTTCTTTAAAGCTGTTTGCAGTTGGGTTTGATGTCCTGTTCCGGGTGAGTGTGTTGTGGCAGTTACCAAGGTGACTTTAGCTGACTTTCAACAATTTATTTTTCCCTCCAGCGTGAGAGCTGGTAGAGTGATCCTCCTCTCCCAGTCCGCGCCCCACCTCCCGTGCTGTTCATCAGCCTGTCTGCCAGAGCCACACCAACCAGAGAGGCTGGGCCGCTCTCTAAGGAACACTGAGGCGCCCGTGGCTGTGGGAACCTATGCTCAACAATGGCTCAGGACAATGTGACAGTCACACTCTGGCTCCCCCATATATATACTCTGGCCTCATGTATAAACTAAGGGTTAACAGAAGAGACCGCCTCCATGCTTGCTGTGTGGGGTCTGTGAGTGACCCTGTGAGTTAAAGGCCAGTCCAGTGCCCTGCAAAGGCTCAGCAAAGATGTGAACCCTATGGGTGTCTGGGGCTACCCTCCTCAGAAGGAAGGTGTAGCAGCCCCCAACAGACCAGCAGATGACAGGGTTTGTCAGAAGTCTGAATTTCCCATGCTGGCCAGCCACATGCCACTAGCTCTGTGGCCTTGGACACCTAAGGAAACCATCTTAGCACTTCCTTCCAGGCCTGAAATGCTGTGGGCCCTCCTGGCCGAGGTGGCCTTCTCCTCCCCAGGTTTTGTGAAAGCCTCTGCTGAAGAGAAGCTGGGGGAAGGGCCCTCCAGAGCAGAGGAGTGGGAAGCTTTGTCAGAGGACAGTCAGAACTAGGGGAGCTCCTCAAAGGAGTGTGACCTCGGAAGCCTGTCTAAAGCTCTGCCCTTCCTGTCTGAGGTCATCCTCCATTTTTGGATTTATTTGAAAGAGAGAGAGAAAGCCAGAGCTGCCATCCTCTAGTTCTCTCCCAGATGCTCACAAGAAACTAGGACTGGGCCAGGCCCAAGCCAAGAGGCCAGAACTCAATTTAGGTCCCCTGTGTAAGTGGGAGGACCCAATACTTAAACCATCACCAGCTGCGGCCCAGGGTACACGTCATCAGGGAGCCAGAGCTAGAAACCTAACCCAGACACTCTGATGTGGGAATGGGCTCTGCCTGTGGGCACCTTCTCAGCTACTGGCCCCAGCCTGCACCACTACTACCCTGTGAGGTTAGACTAGCCTCTGTCCCGACATCCTGGGTGGCTCCTGGGTGCTGTTTAGTGATAAATAGCTGGAAGTGCTCACCCAGGTCTTTGATGGACACAGGGGAGTTGTTCCTGAGAGTCCCAGCCCAAACCAAAATCCGGTCTTTTGAATGGGATCAGTGAGTAACCCTGGCTTCCTGCTGAGGCAGATTTCGAAGGTTGTCAGGAGAGGTAGTTGAGGTTTTTTTTTTTTTTTAATTTATTTATTTATTGGAAAGTCAGATATACAGAGAGGAGGAGAGACAGAGGGAAAGATATTTCGTCCGATGATTCACTCCCCAAGTGTGCGCAACGGGCCGATGCTATGCCAATCCGAAGCCGGGAACCAGGAACTTCTTCCGGGTCTCCCATGTGGGTACAGGGTCCCAAAACTTTGGGCCGTCCTCGACCGCTTTCCCAGTCCACAAGCAGGGAGCTGGATGGGAAGTGGAGCTGCTGGGATTAGAACCGGCACCCATATGGGATCCCGGGCATGTTCAAGGCGAGGACTTTACCCGCTAGGCCACGCTGCCAGGCCCAGGTAGTTGAGTTTTAAAGAGCAAATCTCAGAATGCAGATGGACGTGGTACCCCAGCCATGGGAGTGGCTATTACAGGGAGCCAGGGGCTTGAGTGGCCCAGGCCACAGGCCAGAGAGCTCTGGTACAGGGTTTCCAGGGCCTTGACGCCCAGTATGCCAAGAGCCTAGTTCTGTTGCCTCACCAGGCCTGCTGTTAGGACCCTAAAGGCCTGGTTCCCACGCTGTCCGTATTGCTATCGCATGTCCTGGTTTGATATGTATGGCGCTGCCACTTTTGTCCATTAACAGATGTATACACATTCTGAGCTTCTCGGCATCAATCAGACAGAAACTCTTGAGATGTGCCTCATGGTGCTTTCGCACTCCAGTGATGCAGAGCTGGGAGTCTGAGGTTTCAGGGCAGGAGAAGAAGAACTCCCAGAAGCTCCTAAAATGTCACAGTGAAAGGCCAGCCACTGTGGCACTAACTTTATAGTGTGATATTGGCCAAAGGTGCATGCTGTAGTTTCAAACCCACCTGAAACCAAATCCCATCTTTCCCTGTGCACTGCCGTGCAACCAAGACAAGGTAGTTTCCCTGAGCCCCACCTAGTTCTTTGTCTTTAAAGAGGAGATAATAGGGCCCGGTGTGGTGACCTAGCAGCTAAAGTCCTCACCTAGAACATGCCATATAGGCACCGAATCTAATCCTGGCTGTTCCACTTCCCATCCAGCTCCCTGCTTGTGACCTGGGAAAACAGTTGAGGACGACCCAAAGCCTTGGGACCCTGCACCTCTGTGGGAGACCTGGAGGAAGTTCCTGGCTCCTAATTTCAGATCAGCGTAGCACCAGCTGTTGTGGTCACTTGGGGAGTGAATCCTAGAACAGAAGATCTTTCTTTCCTCCTCTCTCTATATCTGACTTTCCAATAAAAATAAAATAAATCTTAAGAAAAAGAGGAGATAATAGTATCATTTGGCATTGTGACGTATAGCCAGTCAGAAGTGCTTGGCATAGTGGCTGGCACTTGGCACACACGGTAGCCTTTATTGTCATTGTCAGTCATCAGTTCTGTCATTATTCAGGAGCCCAGCCAGAGTCTCCTACCTCCCTGTGTTCAACCTGTCCCTGTGCTTGCTTCACAGGAGCCGCAAAGACAGCCTGGAAAGTGACAGCTCCACAGCCATTATTCCCCATGAGCTGATCCGCACTCGGCAGCTGGAGAGCGTGCATCTGAAGTTCAACCAGGAGTCAGGCGCCCTCATTCCTCTCTGCCTAAGGTGAGAGCCTGCTCAGCTCAGGCCCTGCAGCACCCAACTTGACCTCCAGGGGGCACCTCAGAACCTTATCCGGCCATCCCAACAGGGAGTGGGGGTGCCTGTCTGCAGCCTGCTCAGCAGGCAGACCCTGAGGCTGGAGAGGGAGGAGAACCCAGGCAGCTCTAGCTTAGGGACTCTGAACCAGCCAGTAACCAGCCTCCTTGTTGCTGAGCCATGCCATGCAGTGTTCCCTCTGCCTAAGGCTCCAGCCAGCCTAGCCAGTGAGAAGTCTGCAGGTACTGGGGGCCTGTTTTCCTGTAGACCACCCTGAGAGAGAGGCCCTCTTCTCTCTAGTTCTTATCTGGCCCAAGCAATGATGGCGTCCCGTGGGTCCAGGACTGTGACCAGAGAGCCTTACTGGTCTCCAGCCTTACTGCTTGGTTGACAGCCCATTCTCATTTGCTGTAGAAGTTGTCTCCTCTGTTCAGAGAAAGGTTCAGTAACCCTGGGAATCTCAGCTACTCTCAGTGCCCAACAAGCCCAGGGTCAGCGTGGCAGGCCCTCCAGCAGCACTGGACTCTGGAAGTTGGACTCTGGTTTCTCTCACTATCTGCTTTCCCCATGCAAAACACCATGTTCCTCAAGCCCAGTGGCCAGCCCAGCAGACTCCTTGAGGGATCGGGAAGCTGGGTTGTGTCCCTGCTACTGCTGTCCTATGCCAGAAACCCAGCCCTGTGGCCAGAGTCCAGTGTCCTGCTCGGGGCATGCCTCATTGGCTGAATATGTGGCAGCCCATGGCTTCCTCCTCTGGGCCCCACCCTCACTGTGACGGCTGGGAAGGCAGCAAGAAAAACTCTAAACTGAAAGAACAGTGACAAGACAAGGTTATGGTTTGGACCCTCCCCACCATCCCTGGAGTCTGAGGAGTTTGGAATAGAACAAGGTGTCAGCACAGCAGAGCTGGCCAGCCCACTACTGGGACCCCAGCCATTTCTTCCCCAGCCACTTCCCTGGCTCTGGGCTGAGAACTGGTGCAGGAATCATAGGGGCTGCCTGAGAAAGCAGAGAGCAGGTTTCACTTCCTTTGCTGAATGGCACATCTGCCCCACTGGCTACCCCTGCTTGCCCTCCCCACAGGTATATTTCCAGAATGAGGGTTAACAGTAGCCTTTGGGGGTTCCCTCAGAGTGACCTCACTTGGCTTCAGCTTTTTAAAAACCTGGGTTGGGTCTCAGGGTTAGCCTGTAGCCACTGTGGGCCAGGTACAGAGCGGGTGAGGAATCCTTGGGCCTGGGAAAGCGTAGCTGCTAAATTCCTGGGCACAGAGGCTGTGTGCCTGCCCACTCAGCTCTTGGCATGGCCCTGGGCACATCACTAACCTCCCTCTCTGGCCTCAGGCCCCTCTTCATACCTCGGGGAGATGGACTCTATGACCTCTACAGGCCCTCTCACCCTGACATAGTGTTGTGGGAGCCGTGAGTACTTGGGACACTGACGTTAGAGGATGTAGGAGAAGGGCTGTCCATGAAACTGGAGAGAGCAACCTGTTTGGGCACAGTCCCCTCCTCCCAGACAGGTGGGTAGTCTGGATTCAATTGTCTGGACACCCTATGCCCGGAAGCACAGTCCCAGGGTCATGGCCAGGCTGCGGCACTCAGGCTGTTTGCAGGCTGTTTCCTTACCATCTCCCTGTTCCCCCAGGGGCAGGCTCCTGCATGGACGGCACTTTACGTATAAAAGCATCACAGGTGATATGGCCATCACCTTTGTCTCCACGGGAGTGGAAGGCGCCTTTGCCACCGAGGAGCATCCTTATGCAGCCCATGGACCCTGGTTGCAAGTGAGAAGGCTCTTTTCTCTTCTTCTTCCCCTCCCTCCCTCCTCTCTGTGGCCTCTTCCCTTGCTTCCCTTCCTTAGCAACTCCTGGGGGGGGCCATTCCTGAGGCTGCTGAGGAGGTGGCTCTCTCGGACCAGGGGTAAAGTCCTTTGTGTGGGTATGGAGAGCGGATGCTGCTGCTTATCCCAGCAACTCCAAAACCTCTTCCTGGCCTCCCCCTTCATCCCTTGGTGAAACCCACATGATAACTCGCCAGGCCCTGGCCACTGGTAGTTCTGTTTTCCTAGAAGTCTGGTTTTGACAGAAAGTACCCAGGTACTTTTCTACCTGGGTATGCCAAGGTACAGGTGAGACAAGATGAGAGGGTGGATGGCTACCACTCTCCAGAAGCTGTCTGCATGTGAAAGTGGGCCTGTGGACCTGAGCCTGACTGGGCAGGATGGCCTCGGTGGCCGGGAATGCCTTCCTCAGCCCTCTGCACATGCATGTCAAATGGCTCTCCTCTTCTTTCTGGTGGAAACCCAGCTTGTCTGAGTAGAAACCTGCTGGCTTGTCCAGAACACTTGGTTCCCCCTCTGCTCTTCTGGCTAGAGCAGGCTTCATAGCTGAAGGCAAGCAGGGTGCTGGGGCCTGAGGACCATCAGCCTCCTTCCGGCTCCCACTGGGCCCAGCTCCATAAGGAGTGCTCTGCTCTGGTCCACCATACTCCTAAGTTCCTAAGTATTTTGAAGCAAAGCATCTCCCCCCCCCCCCCCCGTTTTTGTTTTGTTGGGATTCTGGGAGAAAGGAACACTTTATCTCCCTCAAGAGTATCAAGAAAGGATATTTAACCCTAGTCCCAAAGGTCCCTTGTTTGTGATATGCTGAAAGGGGGCAGGAGGTGAGGGAGGGGTAGTCAAGGGATAAGAATTGAGCTGCTCTTGTGGGGTTAGATCTGCAGGGCATCTCTGCTCTTGATGCTGCCTTGCTTTTTTATCGGCTTCTCTCTGCTTACAACACAGTTTCTCCTGCTTTAAACCAGTCGCCACCCCACCCCCACCCAAATACAAACCCTTCATTAAAACAAACAGCAAACAGAGGACACCAACCACACTCCCAAGACTAAGCGGAGGTAGAAATGGAAGCTAGTGCTTTAGGGATATTGTGTTCCATAAATTATCTTGCCTTTTTCCACTGTTGTTATTACATTGTTTCATAACAAAATTACTTTGAACCATAAAGTTATAAATACATTTTAAAAGTCCCACTTGGTAACATTAGATTTCTGTCCATGTGGTATTGGTAGTTACTGTAGCAAAAGCTCTGAAGTGTAACATTTGAAATTAGCCCAACACATGTGGGAAGGGCCTCCCCAACCCCAGGCATGCGGCAGGTGCTGTCTGGGGAGAGCAGGCAGCAGCAGCCTTCCTGATGGGGGTGGGTGACCAGGTAGGAGATGGGTACTGTCACTGCAGGAGCCCCCAGACCCCAGGGTTGAGGCGGTGACAGGGCTCAGCAGATGTGCACTGGGATGGCATGTGCTTGTATAGAAGTCTCAGCACATTTTCTTGGAAAAGTGGAGCCTGGGATCTCCCCAAACTCTAGAAGAAATATCCCCCAGTGACATTGTACATCCTCAGCTCAGGGCCTGGCTTTGGAGTCCTGCCGTCCCTTGGAGTGTCTCCCCCGCTCTGGCGACAGAGTGATTGGCATCTCCAGCTCCTAGCAGCTCAGCAGCTGTGGCACCCAGAGGACTCGCAGACACCAATCCTGTCACCAGCCTACTCAACCCCTTTAAAGCTTTCCAGGTCCCACGTAGCACCAAGTCCCTGACCCCCGGCTGCCAGGGTCTCCCTCATCCCCCTCTGGCATCCCCTGCATGAGCTCCAGAGTCCAGCACCGGCAGAATCCCCAGCTCTGAGTCCCCTCCCATGTACTGTTGCCCAGGGAACCGGGAGTGGTGGGAACGGAGCTGCTGTTTCAATAAAGTTGCTGTGCTGGGAGCTGCTTGATCAAAGGCCCGTGTTATGGGCTCATTAGTGTGGTCCACCACGGGGCCAGCTCACAGGAGCACTCCTGGGAAGGCTGGCCGCAGCCCCATTCCCCAAGCATGCACCGGATCATTGACGGGTTTCTCAGGCCCCTTCCAAGGAACCCTGGGAAACCTTCTGACCCGGCCCAGCCAGCAGGATTCACAGTAGGGGAGCCAACACCACCCTGTCTTCCCCTCTCCCCAAGCAGTCAGCGTTTTCTGCATGTGTCTGCCAGCCAGCCAGCCAGCCTTGCCACTGTGGTCACAGGCAGCGCCCTAGCTGTGGGAACCTGGGCTTGTAGTTACTTGTGGGCCCTCAGGGCTCCCTCTGGGAGTTCGCAAAACCTCCCCAAGGCCTGGGCTGAGACTTGAAGTCAGAGCTAAGGCCCAGTCTGGAAGCAGGGGGGAGGGCTGTGCAGAGGTCAGCAGCTCTAACTCACATTCCAAGGGTGGGGGTGTCTCCTTTGTCCTGTGTGCCAGACCTAGGGGAAGCAGACAAGCAAGAGGGGGGCACCGAGTGTAGCAGAGGCAGCACAGGAAGGGACCTAGATGCCTGGAGATCCTATCTGAACCAAGAGGGGCCGGGGTGACAGTCTTGCATCAGCCCTGGCGACCTGGGAAGTCCTCCCTCCCAGCCTTGGCACCTGGTTATGGCGACGAGCAGGGCCTGCTGTCTCTTGGGGAAAAGGCATGAAGACACTGGGACACCCAGGAGAGGCTGAAAGGAAAAGGGAGCAAGGAGGCTGGTGCACATTTTCTTGGGAAAGCGGGGCCTGGCATCTCCCCAGACTCAAGAAGACATACCCCTTGGTGATGTTTCACATCCTCAGCTCTGGGCCTAGCCCCACCTACTCCTAGGTGGCCCTCTGTGCCCTGGAACCTTCCCCCTACCCTCCAGACCCAGGAGAGTCAGGCCCTGGTGCAGCATGGAAGAATGGAGCCAACTACAGCCAGGGGCACTGCTCACAGTGGAGGATCCAGTCAGCTCTGCCTTGGGCTCCAGTAGTGTTTCCTGTCCCCAGAGTGACACCCACCTTCACCCTGTGTGCCCTGCCACTTGCTGTTTCATACTTGTGAAGCTTATAAAGCTGCCACCCAACCCCAGATCTTTGCAGGAGGTCTACTCACCCTAGGGTTGGGGGTAGGTGCTCTCCTACAGTCCCTCCACCAGCACACTTCACCCGGCTGGCTTTGAGGGGCCTCTCTTCCTGGCAACACTAGCTGTTAGTCTTCTGAGCAGGAGCCCAGCTCAGCACTGAGTTCTGCATCTATCCATCCCTGGCCAGGGTTGGGCTAAGGGGGTAATGTTGCAGTTCCAGGGGTCGCAGAGGGGTCACGTCACCAGACAGGAGGGATTTTTTTAGGCCCTTGAAGTACCTTCTCACCTGTGTGGTGGCTGATGGTTACCCCGGGGGTGGGGACAGAGGAGGGACACCTCCTGTCCCAGGCAGTCCCTTGCACTCCTGACCAGAGGCCCAGGCACTGTTGCTCCAGGCTGGAGTGGAGGGCAGGTGCTGAGCTCCCCTTTCCTCCAGTACTGACTCGCTACTGTCCTGGGTAAGGCCCTGCACCCTTCAGGGCCCTGAGCTCACTTGGAGCAAATGGCCTCGGGGAGGCTGGGCCCTGGGCAGCCCTTCTTTGGTTCTTCTGCTCTTTCTCCTTCCCCTGGTGAACCTGTGTTCCCCAGAGACCTCTGTTTGGCCGTGCCAGAAGTCCCATTACCCAGGAGCTGTCCAGTAAGGCTTAAAGCCCAGCAATGTGCCTGAAAAAGTGCCCTCTGGTGCTGGAAAGGACTGGGATGCCCTGCTGGGTCCCCAGTAGCCCCCAGCCTAAGCAGAAGGAGTCAGCCTGTTACTGGCCATGAAAGCCAACTTGTCACCACCCACCAAGAACAGGAAATGAGTGAGGCCTCCCTGTCCCCCTGCTGCAGCCTGCTGTGCTACCCACAGGCACAAGTCTATGCCACCCCCCAGGTTGGGGGTGTGGGGGCGTCTCCAGGCTGGCTCTGGCTTTTGTCTGGCCTGGGGGCGGGGTGGGGGGTGTTGCCGAGGACAGCTACAGGACTGCCTCCTCGGCTGCCATCAGGGATGCCAGGGCAGCTCTTTGGCAGGCCCTGCACTGTAAACAACACATTTCCTTCCCTGAGAGAAGGAAAGGGAGGGAAAAGAAAGCCAAACTTGTTGGGAAGCAAGAACAACGTGTCAACACGAAGAGCAAACAGGCCCGGGACAAAGTGTGGATTGTCATGCCGGGGGGAGGGGTGGTCACCGTCCGCCACTCACAAATACCATTGACCACAAACATTTGAATCGGCGTCAGCTCCACAGCACAGTCAGGCCTGCCCAGGGCAGGCTCCAGTGAAGCAGCACCTTTCAAATTCCCTTCTGGAACTTGCTAGGGCCCAGGGAGTTGGCAGGTTATTGACAATGCTTCCTCACCGTCAGCCAGCCATGTTCTCCCAAGGCACCTAGCAGGAGCCCACTTGGGGTAGGTTTGTTGGCCTAAATTCCAGACCCCTTTCTGCCTGGCCAAAGATGAGGATGAGGAGTAAAGGGCCAGTGGCAGGACAGTGGGTTAGGCCTCAGCCCGGAAGCTCTTGCCATCAGGGTCAGAGTATTCCCCAGCACTCCCTGCCTCAGGCTCCCTGGGGGTCTTACTGCCCAGGGCAGTGCGCTCCTCAGTTCGGCCAGCACACTTTCCTCTCTGAGGACAGGGTGTCCTCCTGCCAAGGGCATTTTTCACAGGCCAGTGTTTCTCAAGCAAGGACTTTGTGACTGTTCTTGGTGGGTAAAGCACCCACAAATGCTGCTGTCATTGTCACAGTTACTCCTGCTGCTGTGGATTTCTGAGCTAGAAGAACCGTCCAAATGTCCATGTTCAACCAGATTGGCCTGGAAACTTGCCCCACTGTCCCCCATTTGGAAACCACCTTGGGGCAGGATCTGCCCTTTTTCAGTTGGCCAACATTTAGTTTGTTTTGTTTTGTTTTAGCAACTACTTGTCTGTATCTTGGGGATCCAAACCCCTTGAGCTGAGCAGGTGGCCAGGAGTTTTGTGGCTGGTGGGGGTTAGTTTTCCAGGATCCTGGGAGAATCCTAAACCACCTTCAGCTTCCTGGTGCAAAAGGCTCTGCGTATACAGGAGTCTAGAGCCTGGAGTACATTACCCAGACAGGAAGAGCATCCTCCTCAAGGGCGATGAGGTCAGACCACTGTGCTGAAAAAGCTGGGAGACCTGGCTGCACTCATCTGTGAAATGGGGATAAAAGTTCCCTCAGACCCCACCCCGCTAGGCCGCCTTGGGGATTCTGTGAGATTGAGCCGGTCAAGCACTTAGTGCTGTGTCTAGCACGTGGGGGCAGGGCAGTGCTGCCGCCATGGGTCTTTATCATAACCACTCCCATTATGCTTTGAGGCAGAGCCAGATAGCTCCGTGGGGACCGGGTGAGCTTCCCGAGCTCCAAGGCTCAGCCCCACACAGGTTTTTCCCACAGTTGCATCACAACGGGGAGTCTGTTCCCTGTGGAGCTCCCAGGAGCTGCTCCATCGTAGCTGTCTATCTCCAGTGTCCTGTTGATAAGATCTGTTAACATTCTCAGCTCCAGGTCTGAAATATACAAAGAACAGGGCCTGTTTGTTCAATCCAAGCTTCTAAGGTTTAACTCCCAGAGGAAATTAAATTAGGTGCCTGGAGCTACGACAGTCTGTGGTGTTTCTTCACGGAGAATGTCACCCTTAATACCGTGCAGATCTTGTGGATAAATTTTTTTCTCCTTTAATTCTTTTAAAACAATGTGACATTTCCAGCATGAACCAATAAGCAAGTCCCCAAAAGTGAAAATGGAGTAACAACTAAGGTTTGTCCCCATTTTGGGTCTTGCCAACCCCCTCCCCCAGCTAAGGATGGGCTGTGTCCACTCACAGATGGTGCCACGCTGGGTAGTTGCTCTAGTGAAAGGCACCGTAACTCACCATTCCCCAGCATCCGTTTGCGATCTTTGCTGAGGGAACTGGCTTAGGACTGAGCACATTGTTGGTGGCATTTCTTTCCCAGTCGTTGAAATGCAGCTCCCTCTGGAGTCACACTGGTTAGCCACAATTCTGTAAGTCCTCCCCCTACACAACACCCCATGGCACCCCTGGTGCTAGCAGTAGTCCCAGACTTATTTACCTCCCTGGCAAAAAGCCCCTCCTTCCAGACTATTTGTGGGTTAGAAATCAGCCCAGCCTGGCCCCGGCTGGAGCCATTGTCACAGAATTAGGTTTTAGGTCTGCTTGTGTTTGTGCTAGCATTTGCAGAGATGGCAACAAGCCCCAGAAATGCCAGGAATATGAATGTGACTTTTATTCTACTCCAGCAGACTGATGATAACTGGCGGAGAAACTCTGCACCTCGACAGGGAGGGCAGGTGCACCCCAGGCTGAGACGGTGCACGGGGCCAGAGCTAAGGGAGAAGCAGCCAGTCTCGCTTTGGAGACCTTGGAGGAAGAGCCTGGGGACAACTCGGGTGGGCTGGTTGCCTCTCCCCAGGTCTGCTTTGTCTGTCCTCAGCTGAGGCCTGAGCTCGTAAGGCAGAGAGACGGGGTGAGACATGGCCCAGGTCAGGGCCGGTTTTTTCCTGACTACAGATTGGGGGCCTGGTACAGCAAGTCTAGAAGGAGGTGAGGAGCTGGGCTCTAGGGAGCACTTGGCACAATGCCCAGCATAAGAGTAGTTTTTCTGTCTTCTTCCCCTCATCTCCTTCCTTCTTTCAAGGTCTGTCCTGTGGGGGCTGGAAGGCTCCAGCTTTGCCCTTCCTGTTCTGCCACTTTATCTCACAATTGGAAACTTCTGTCCTGATTGGAAGGAGCAGCACCAAGGGGAAGCTCGATGGCTATTCACTCAAGTTCTTGGTTCTCTTCCTAATCTCCTTCCACAAGGGGTGAATTCCCCACCTTGGTCCTCATCACATTCTCTTCCTTCCTTCCACCAGGTGGGCAGAGAAGATGAGGTCAGGGCAGGCTGAGCTGTTGCCAGGGAGGATCTGGCTAGGCTTGGTACAGGCTCTTGTCTCCATGTGGGGCAAAAAAAAAAAAAACAGTCAAAGAGTCCTAGAAAATAAACAAGGGTGACTTAAAGGCAAAGGAAAGATTTGGCCAAATGGTTCAATGGATAAATCCTTGCCTTGCAAGCACTAGGATCCCATATGTGTTCTGACTGCTGTATTTCTCTTCCAACTCCCTACTTGTGGCCTGGGAAAGCAGTAGAGGATAGCCCAAAGCCTTGGGATCCTGCACCCATGTGGGAGACCAAGAAGAAGCTCCTGGCTTTGGATTGGCTTAGCTTTGGCTGTGGCGGCCGCTTAGGCAGTGAACCAGCAGACCAGAAGATCTTTGTCTCTCCTCCTTCTTTCTGTAAATCTGACTTTCCAATAAAAATAAATAAATTTGAAAAGCAAAACAAAAAACAACAGGGGGTGGCAAAGGGAATGCACACAACTCAGCTGGAAGTGTAGGCAACCTCAAGGGAGAAGGCTGCCCCTGACATAATTTGGAGCCATTCATTTTTAGGAGGTGGAGACATAGCAAGCAGTGTCTGAAGTAGCACTTCATTGTTCAAATGGGGACAGAATTTGGGCAAAGCTTGAGTTCTGCCCATTTCCGCATCCTTTTTGGAATTTTTTTTTTAAGATTTATTTATTTATTTTTTATTACAAAGTCAGATATACAGAGAGGAGGAGAGACAGAGGGGAAGATCTTCCTTCAGATTATTTACTCCCCAAGTGAGCCACAGTGGCCGATGCTGCGCCAATCCGAAGCCGGGAACCAGAAACATCTTCCAGGTCTCCCACACCAGTGCAGGGTCCCAAAGCTTTGGGCCATCCTCGACTGCTTTCCCAGGCCACAAGCAGGGAGCTGGATGGGAAGTGGAGCTGCTGGGATTAGAACCGGCGCCTATATGGGATCCCGGCGCATTCAAGGCATGGACTTTAGCCACTAGGCCACGCCACCAGGCCCCCTTTTTGGAAATCTTGAGTGGTGATGCCAACTGCATGATGGGAATAGGTATGTTGGCCATGGTGATCTAAAGATCACTGTGGGAACTGAGACAGCAGCCATATTGGACATTTGTGGGCAGCACAAACCTGGCAGCTGTGGTTGGCACATCATGGGGCAAGGTTTGAGAGGTGGGGGACAGGGCTGCAGTGTGTCTGGGGCTGCAGTGCAGGTGCTCACTGCCCATGTACAGCTGTTGCATCAGGATACAGAAGGGTCTGTCACGTAGGCCAGGAAGGACAAGAAGGCAGGGTCAGACATGGAAGAGCAAAATCACCCAGAGCAGGCATGCCTCATGTTTGACCTGGCTTGGGACAGCAGCCTGGCCAGAGAAATGGGTTAGCAAAATGGTCCATGGAGGTGAGGAAGACTGGACTTCAGGTGTCCTGGGGACACTCTGACATTGCTATCAATGTCCATGCTTCTTCAGTGCAGGAGGGTGGGCATGGTGCCAGCCTCTTGGTAAAGACCAGGCAGCCCCAACAGCACAGCATGGCCAGGGCAGGAGAGGGGGCAGTCTGGGAAGTGACCTTAAGAAGAGGCTTCACAAAGAAGGTAATAAGAACTTAGTGGCTGCATGGGGTCAGCAGGGCAGAGCTTGGGAGCCTGCACCCCAGGAAGATATTGAAGGGCACGGAAAGAGGTGGAAGCTGACAGTCCTTTGTCTGTCTAGAAGAGAGAAGCCCATCACGATCTCCTAGCTCTGCAGCTCAGACATTCTTAGATGCTCTTCCCAGGTTGTTTCCAGATTCTAGATAGGGCTATAGTTCCAAATGCAAACAGCCTCTTGTTGCTGACCACGGTGAGGGTGGCAGGGTAAAGATACATCAGATCAGCCTGAGGGAGCAAGGAGGATATTAGCAACCCTTCTCCCCACCCCCACTCCCCAGCTTTTCTCTTTCCCTCAGCTTCCCTGGAGCCTGTGGGAGTCCTGAGCAGCCATAGTGGAGGTGTGGTCCCTACTGTGACCCATCTCCATTCCTGAACTGTGTACCCTCACCTCCCTTCCCCGCTGTCCTCAGGGCTCTTCCTTCTCTGTTGAGTCCCACACTGTGTGGGGAGGGAAATGCCAGTCAGGAGAGGCCTCAAGCACTTCCTCCGTGCCTAAACCTTCCTCCTCGGGCCAGAAGAGAGGCCCAGGACTTTAACAGTTGGCAAAAAGATCAGGTATTTAAAAAGAATAATAGAAGCCTACCTTATGCCTTTTTCCCAGATCCTGTTGACTGAAGAATTTGTAGAGAAAATGTTGGAGGACTTAGAAGATTTGACTTCTCCAGAGGAAGTAAGGCTGTTTGTTTTCTCTGACAGTGGGTCCAGTTTCCAGGAGCACATGTGCGCACATGTGTGTGTGTGTGTGTGTGTGTGTGTGTGTGTGCGTGCATGCACGGGCAAAGGTGAATGGGTGTCTATAGGAGCCTTTCTCTGCAGCATGTGAAGGCCTAGGCTTGGGAGGTGATCCCTGGGGTGCCAAGTGGCTTCATCTCTATTTGATTTCCAAGAGCCTTCTAGCCCCTGCCCGCCCCCCAACCCTGTGAGGACACCCAGCAAATTATCTGAATTGCCAGTTCTTGAGAACCTCCCAGAAGAGGCAGCCAGGACCTTCAGGCGTTCTCCCCAGCCCCTGCTGTTCTCTGGCAGGTTCTGAACAGAAAGCCCAAGGCTGCTGCCAGGGAACATTCCTCTGGGGAGTTTTGGTGGGCAGCAAAGGACTTGCTCTCGCCTCAGGCCACCCAAGAGCCACTCTCCCTTCCTCCCTCTCTAGCTATCAGCTTTCCCCTTTCAGTGGCCTTTCTCCACCTAAACACAGAGCCAGGGGAGCTGGCAGGTCAGGTGGGGGTGGTGCTGCTCCCCTGGGGTCCAGGAGAGGACTCCATAATCCCCATTGTTTTTCTTCCTTGTTCCCAGCATCCTCATTCGCAGAGACTTACCTCATCCTGGAAAGTCCCTTTCCCGCCCACTGCCTTGCCTCCTACCATCCAGCACCCCAGCAGTTCCAAGGCTTCCTGGCCTCAGGGCCTGGCGGGCAAGCCTCTGTGGAGCCCCTGAGGGCTCTCCCCCTGGTTGTCCCTTGCCCTGTCAGCTTGAGGGAGCACACTCTCACAGCCCCCACCCCAGGGCCCAGGCAGGCAGGCAGCTGGGGCTGTCCTGCCCAGGTCTTCAGGGCCAGAGGCCACTCTGGTAGGGTGTCATCTTCTCTGTCCTCTGGGATGCAACCTGATAAATTAATTCACTTATACATTCCAAAGTCATCCAGCACCCAGTCTGTGCCAGCCAATCAAACCCCAGAAATCCCTGGCCCCAGAGACCCAGCTCCCCATTCAGTCAGATCAGAGCCAGCTGCCCAGAAGCGCTTCCGGAGAAGACTTGTCGCACTGGGATGGCACTGCGCCAGACCGCTGCTTGGAGCTGGGTGTCGAGGGCCTGGAAGGGGGACAGTCCAGGCAAGAGGAACAGGAGCCAGGGGGAGCTTAGGAAAGTAGGTCAGTAAAAATGACTTTTTTCTTTTTCTGCTTTCTTGTCCAGAGGCTGTCCCCACACCCTGCCTCACTCTCCACTTTGGTTCTGGCATGGTTAGGTCCCCATCAGCAGGAGAGGAAAGGGAGCCAGCCAGGAAGTAGAGGCCTGTCCCTCTCCAGCTTAGCTCTACGCAGGCACACAGTGCTGCGTTCTCTTTCCTGGCTAGCCTGGCCCTAACCACTGGCCTAACCTCAACGCAAATCACAAAACACAAACCTTGCTTCCAAGCCCCAGCAGCAGCAGTCCAAGTCAGGGAGTATGCTTTGAGCACCAGCTGTGTATGCCAGGCCTCACGCAGGCTTGCAGCATTCAGAGTAAGGTCCATGAGCCTCTTCGGCTTTCCACACAGGAAGTCCCCAGAGGACTGGGAGAAACAAAGGTGGAAGCCAGTCAGTCGGCATTTCCTGGGGTGGGGAAGGAAAGTCTTGGGCTCTGCCAGGCCATCAGTGGGAGGGACCCTTGGGAGGCTAAGGACCCTGGGAAATGGAGGAGCAGGAAGGAGGGAAAGCAGGCTGGGGGAGGTTGTGGAATGGCTGTCCCTGAGGGTACACTGGGCTCCAGGAGTCACCTGAAGCCATGTTCATCCCACCCCCACCCCTAGGGCTGGCTAGGCTTCCCTCTGGGCCCTTCTGGCCAAGGCTCCGGGGTTCTTCCCTCATTTCCTCAGAGCCTGGCAGTGAGGACCTCAGGCCTCTTCCCTACACCAACCTCCCCTCCCCCAGCCCCACGCTGCAGCCCCAGGGCCCCTGGGAGCAGATTCCTGGCATGCTTGTGGCTGGAGGCCCAACTAAGGAAGTGAGCCCAAGGGAGGGCAGCTGCAATCAAGAAGGACTTAGAAAACACCTCCTCCTCCAACCCAGGTTAATTATTGGCAGGCAAGGAGAAGAAAAGGGTCACCAAACTCCAGCAGCTTGACCCTGGCCACCCACCTGGGTCCAGCTTCTGAGAGTGAACCCAGCTGTCCAACAGCCGGTCTTGCCCCTCCTCACCCCCTGGGTTAGGGTCCTGTCCTCTCTCTGGCAAGAAGGCACTGGGTTCTGCTAACCATGTGGGTGCTGGGTCTGTGCTTGTCCCCTCCACAGTGCAAACTTCCCAAGGAATACAGCTGGCCTGAAAAGAAGCTCAAAGTCTCTATCCTGCCAGACGTGGTGTTCGACAGTCCACTGCACTAGCCTGGGCTCGGCCCTGAGGGCCAACGACTGCGGATGGGGAGCCCAGCTGACTTCCAGTTGCATAAAGGCGATTCCCTCAAATAAAGGACAAGTGTGAGGAGGATGACTGCACAGCCACTGCGCCTGCAACCCAGGGGAACACTGCACAGGCCACAGGCCCCACCTCACTGCCGGGTCAGGGCACAGGACAATGCAACCCTGGTTGCCTACTGCCACTGCAGATCATGGTTTGAAATTTGACTGTGGACCCTTGGTGCCCCGAGTGGCACAGGCATCATGGTCACCCACTCACTGCCCACACTGTGGCAGGAGGACGTGCAGGGGTGTGCACCAGCTCAGCTCTAGGAGCCTCTGCTAGACTTGCTCCTCTGACCACAGAAGATTCCTCCCCTCATGTTTGGTTTGCTTTTTCCTTATTTTATTTTGTAGAAACCGGTGGTACTTCATTGCCATACACAGAGGCCATTATATGATGTTTTTTAAACAGAACTTTATTCCCAGGTGAACATTCTTATTTTCTCAGACAGGGACCTGGGGCCATGTGTCCCCCTGCACTGCCACCAGAGACGGTGACCACTGTTGGCTTGCCCACCTAGGGCCTGGAGGAGCTGCCTTTCTAGACAGGCTTCTCTTCCCACTGGGCCTGGGAACCTGTGCAGCCTGGAACACAGGTTGGCTGGCATCAGGGAGGGCTCCTGATCGTCTCAGGAGAAACTGAGCTCCCTCTGCCTCCAGGGACCCTCAGGCTCTCAAAGACTTGGTGACCCCAGCCTCATCTTCCAGGACTTCACACAGCTGGGCCTGCCCACACCTAACAGTCCAGCCCCAGCCAGCCTCAGGGCCTGGGTCTCTAGCTCCTGGGCAACCCCTGCCCCATTCCCTGGGCTTCTTGGCCTCTAGGCTGTAGGATTATGACTTATCACTAACCAGAAACTGCTTTCTGCCACCCTCCCAGCCAGCCTGCATCCCGTCATTCCCTATCCTTCATCCCCACTCCTTGTCCTGTCTGCCTCTCATGCTCCTTGGTGCTGCACCCCAGGAAACTGCAGATCTCATGGTCTGTGTTCCCAGAGTCACCCTGGCCTGTGGTTTGAGGGTTCCTCTTGCATAACTAACTGCCCACTCTGCCTAGGAATGAGCAAGGTCCTGTCCTTCCATGTCATGCTGTGACTCCAGGGACTGCTACTTTAAGCTCACTATTTGGACCATTCCAAAGCCAAGTGATTTCACCTGGTCAGGGACTATACAGGGCACCTTTCTGCCTCTGTCTGCCCCCAACACCCATACAGACACCACCACAGTGGTTTAGGAGCCAGAGAGTTGCCTGCAGGGGTCATGATGCTCCTGGCCAGGCTTCCTAGAAAATTGGAGGTGGCCTTCCAATAATGCTATCCAGTTCCAGGCTTTGAGGCACGATCATCCTGAAGGGCGTGGAAGAGATGGACCCCAGTCAACTGCCCCATCCCCCTCTCCGCTCTGCTGCTGCTGAGATGCAAGCCCCCTCGGCTGAGGTCACCAGCAACTGGGACTTCTGCTGTTCTGAGGGCTTTTCAGAAAAGGACGGTGGCTGTCAGCACAGCCTGACCTCTGTGTTGTTGATCCGGATGTGGGCAGGGGTGCCATGCCATTGGGTTGTCCCCATTCCTTGCCATCGTGACCAAGCTCCGACTGAACTCTTCTGAGCATAGCTGGATGGCTCCTACTGCAGCTCACCCTGCCTCCAGCTACTGGTATGGATGTGAGGGGGGCAGTTTTCTGAGCTAAGCTTTGTCATCAGTGAGGCATCTCATCAACATTTGCCCCAGACCTGCAGGTCTTTTACAGTCGGGGGTTGGAGGGGAGGGCTGGTATTGGTTCTTGAAGAAGCAGGGAACTTTGAGGGAGAAGCAAGTGAGTTCTGAGATGATCAGTTCAGGAAGCCTATGGCCCCTTTCTGCTCTCTCCCCACCCCCACTCCCATCGTGCAGGAACCTTATGAACAGCCAAGATCCTGCCGGAGCCAGGCCCCCATCATTTTCCTATTATACATCAGCTCTAAGCTGTGTGGCAGAGCCTCAGCTGCCTCTTACCAGGCCTTCTTTTCTTTGGACAATGGGAAACACCTCCCAGAGATTTCTCAGGGCTGGAGCTTGCCACTGACTGAGCTGCTGGCAGATGAGAGAGGACCCTTGCTGAGCTTCAAGCGACTGTGACCTTGCATGGAACACAGCACAGCCTCTGGTGCCTGGTGGGAGCCCAGCAACTGCACCTGTTCCTTCCCTACCTGCAGTTCAGTAGGAGTGCCTGGCCTCAGATGGGGCCAAGGAGGGAGACACCTTCTCAGCAGGCCTCCCTTAAGCTTGTCCATTTCTGCCCTATCCTTCTAGGTTCCCAGTCCTGGCACTTCTGAGGCAGCGGTCCCCCTTGCTATTTGCCTGCTAGGTAAGGCAGACCATGGTTCCCCGAGTGCAGCCTGAAAGAGGACCACATACCCTGCTGCCCTTTGGGGCACACTGGAGAGGTTCTTGTGGGGTCAGGCGGGAGAGCTGCTGCCTCTTTGGAGGTGAGGCGGCAGGGCAAGGACTGGGAAGACATTAGGGAGAATCCCAGTGGGCTAGAGCATTTGAAAAAAATAGACACGGGGTCTTGGGACTGGTTGTGGAGACTGAGTTGAGAACAGGGAGAAAGCCCTGAAGGTCAGTGCCCCCATGGGGCAGGCCACCAAGGATGCCCTTGACTGTGTCTTTGGTTTTTGTTTGTTTAATCCACTTCTCTCTGGCTTTCAGGACCTCAGCACCGATGAGGTGCCTGGGTCCCTATAGCAAGTCAGGAGCCCTGTAGATGGGTTCCCCCTTTTGTATCAGTACCTGACTGCTGGCAAGCAAACTTTTGTAAAACTTTTATATCTGTTTTTAATGTCCGTAGAGACTGAGTTTCTGGGGCTATAGCCAGCCAGGGACTTTTGTAAGAATTTTTTGGGTGACTCACTTAGATGTCGTATCCTTGCCCCCTCTTCCTTTGTGTAATCTAAGTGTATTAAACATTTGCAGAAGTGCTTGGGTCCTGTGCTCCTTTCTGGCTGCCCAGAGGAGGGAGCAGGAAGCATGGAGTCCTGGCAGAGGAGCTGGGTTGGGCACAATGATTTAGAAGAAGGCACGATGCGGGGGTGGGGGGGGGAATACTCCAAAAACTATTGGGGGAACTTGGGGGCGGTGCAAGAGAGTGAAGTCATGGAGCCAGTGACTCTCCTCAGTCATGCTGAAGTGACTTGGCAGGGTCAGGCCCTCCTTCACTGGTCTTGACTTCCTTTAAGGTCAAGGAGCAAGGAACAGTCTGGGGAGATGAGCAGGTAGATAGAGACCCTTTGCCTGCACTTCCCTTCTCTTACCAAGAACCTGCTTTAAGAAAGGTCCCCAGTTCTGGAATCCTTGTTCCCCCTCTAGCAGCCCATGCCCTTCACCAGGCATCTATTTATTCCATCTCCTCCTCATGGGAGGGAAAGGGGAGGCTGGGAGCAGCCCTTGGAACCCAGATAGCAGGACCATCTCAGACCAGTCTCACCGGCAGGTGGCACAGCAGTCAGCCCAACCTGCCTAGGAACTCCTCCAGCGCTGGCCTGGGTGAGGAGTTGGGTCTCTTCCTTGCTTGGCCTGCCCGGCTCCTGCCTCTCCAAGACCTGGGTGCTACAAAACTGAGCCCAGCATCCCAGGGGCTGGGGCTTGGGGAGAAGCAAAAGTCTGGCACTCCCAAACAGGCAAAATGGCATCTGTCCCAGACAGGGTTCCTGGAACCCATGGGACAGCCCGCCCTGGGGTCCTCCCACATTCTTTCCCTTTTGTTTAGGTGTTTTCTGCCCTAGGCCTGTCTGTCTTCTGTTCCTCTGGACAGAAATGCAGCACCTAGGGGAGTCGCCTGGGGCTGGGACATCATGAGGGGCAAGTCCTGTGAAGGAGCTGTCAGCTGTGTCCATCCTCTAAGAGGCCCAGCCCTCTGGGAACCTTCCTGGGAGGAGGTCAGTGCCTCTCCTTCCTTTGTGACCTCTTACTGAACTCTGGCAAGTGGCTGACCTTAGAGCAGTGGCTGGGCATGTCTGGGGCCTTCAGGCCTTTGGGGTAGTCAGAACAAGGGAAATGAGCACCCAGCCGCAGGTCCAAAGCCCACTGATAGCCCTGGGGTAGCGTAGGCCACACCTCTTGACCTTTCCCCAGGAGAAACTGGGGGGTGTGGTGCTTATCTGTGTAAGAGTCCTCAGGGTCACAATGAAAGTCTTGCCCCATAAATAACAGAATAACTGGATCCTGTACTTGGGTGGTCCTGGGAGACAGTCCCAGGCTGGGGGTTGTTGCTGGAAAGGGACAGGCTCCAAAGCCTTAGAGCAGAGACCCCCTCCCTGTACAAAGAGGAGATAGGCTGATTGCCTGGTGTCTGCTTGGGCCCCATCTGGGGGCCCCCCAGAGAGCCCCGAGGAGGGGAAGCCACAGGCTGTGGGGCCCATGGGATTGGGGAGCCTGAGAAATCTGCCAAACTGGCCTGACCAGAAGGAGAGCACAAGAGCTGGAAGTGACTCAACCTTGCCTGCCAGGCAACAAAGCAGCTGCTGGCCACAGAGAGGGCGGAGATGGGAGGCCTGGTGAGGGCCAGGGGCGTGACTTGCTGGGCAGAGAGAGAGACTTTGAGAACTCTAGGGGCTGGTCAGGGTGCACTCCAGAGGGTTATCTCCTGTCACCTCCCTGGGGACTCACCCAGGCCTCCTGTCTGTTTGGCAAAGGGGGCAAAATGGGAAGGAGAAGCTGATGGCTGGTAGATGTACACAGAGGGGACTTGGAGGGGCTTACAGTGTGAGTGTAGTGATCACTAGGGCTGAGAATAGGGAGCACACACCCTGTTCCTTGAATTTTCAATGCCACCTACCCCACCCACATGGCATCTTGGCACACATGAGTACCCTGGGAGTTTCTGGGGTAGCGTATACAGGACAAGGAACCTACACAACCACACCAGCAATGGTGAGGACAAGAACACATACTTGGTTTTTCAACAGCTATGTGGCCAGGAAGTTTGTAACATGCCTAGAAGTAGACTCAGGCCCTGCCCGGAGCAGCTTATAATGCTGTGGAGGAACTAGACAAAGAAGCAGACTCAAGGAAGAACCCTAAAAGAGGAAGGAAGGCAACTGCTTCCGGTCCCACTCCAGCTCCACCACCTCTGATCAGTGCAGCTCTAGGCTTGCTCATTAAGTTGTGCCTCAGTTTCTTCATTGGCCAGGAACCATGCCACATAGGCTTACTGTAAGGATTATATAAGGTAGCACATATCTGGCACACAGTGATGGCTTAATTAGTGTTTCGTTTTACCAAAGGGCTCTGCTTAGGAAAGGTGCCCAGCCCCATCTGAGGAGATTTAAAGAGTCTTCCTGAAAGAAGTTACATCAAACAGCAAGGTTTGGTGTTGGGCACAGGGAGTTAAGCCGATGTCTGGAAAGCCAGTGCCCCGAAAGGGCTGGTTTGAGTTCAGCTCCACTGCCATGCAGTTTCCTGACAATGCAACTGGGAAAGCAGAAGATGACCAAAGTATCTGGTCTCCTGCCAGTCACATGGGAGATCTGGCTCCAACTCAGTTCAGCTTTGACCATTGCAGCCATTTGGGGAGTGAACCAGTAGGTGGAAGATCTTTGTGTCTCTGTAATATTCTTTCAAATGTTTGTAAATGGTTAAATAAAAGCAGAGAAGGCTTGGTTTTGAAACCTCTTGGTTGAAAAACAAAGGCAAAAACCTCAAAACTGTTACTGCAAATTTTCATGTCAAATTTCCTAGAGGGTACAGTTTAAACCATCAAACTTTCAATTTAAGATTGCCCTGTCTGCTGGATGGATGCTGTTTTCAAAGGGAGCAAGAGGAGCTGGCATTGTAGCACAAAGGGTTAAGCTGCCACCTGTCATGTTTGCATCCCATATGAGCACATTAGTAAGACGCTGGATCAGAAGAAGAGCACCTGAGACTCCACCTGGTACTCCATTATGGCATGAGGGCACCACAAGGAGCAGGTTTTATTTTCTTAAGATTCACTTTTATTGGAAAGTCAGATATATGGAGAGGAGGATAGAGAGGAAGATCTTGTATCCATTGATTCACTCCCTAAATGGCCATAATGGCCAAAATATGCCATTCTGAAGCCAAGAGCCAGAAGCCTCTTCCAGGTTTCCCATGCAAGCAGGTACAGGGTCCCAAGGTTTGGGCCATCCTCAACTGCTTTCCCAGGCCACAAGCGGGGAGCTAGATGGGAAGCAGGGTTGCCGGGATTAGAACCAACGCCCATAAGGGATCCTGGCAATTGCAAGGCAAGCACTTTAGCCTCTAGGCTACCATGCCGGGCCCCCACAAACAGCAGTTTAACACATGGTAATTAGAATACTGGCTCTTAGGGCTGGTAATTTTTCTATAAAGACTTATTTTATTTCATTATTGGAAAGTCAGAAATACAGAGAGAAGGAAAGACAGAGAGGAAGGTCTTCTATCCATTGATTCACCCCCAAGGTGGCCACAATGGCTGAAGCTTAGCCAATCCAGAGCCAGGAGCTAGGAGCCTCTTCTGGATCTCCCTCACAGGTACAGAGTCCCAAGGCTTTGGGCCATCCTCAACTGCTTTCCCAGGCCACCAGCAGGGAGCTGGATTGGAAGTGGAATCTCTGGGATTAGAACTGACGCCTATATGGGATCCTGGCGGGAGCAAAGCAAGAACTTAAGCCAATAGGCTATCATGCCGGCCCCAAGGTTGGTAATTTTTAAAGGTTGACTATATAGCACATAAGATACATGCTATGGAGAAAAAAGTCAGAAAAGTAGACATAGTAAGAGATGGAAGCTTATATATATATATATATATATATATATATATATTTAATTTACTTGAAAAGCAAAGAGAGAATGAAAGATCTACCACCTGCTGGAACATTTTCCAAATACCCACAGCAGCTGGAGCTGGGCTGGGTTGTAGCAAGAGGTGGGAACTTCACCAAAGTCTTCTATGTGTGTAACAGGTTTAAGTACCTGAGTTACCACTTGTGTCTGCCAGGGTGCTCATTAGCAGGAAACTGGGATTGAAAGCAAAGGCGGCAAATGGCAGGGGCCAATCCTTGAGCCTTCCCTTGCAGCTCTCCAGGGTGCACATTGCTAGGAAGCCACAAGTAGGAACAGAGCCAGGACTCAAACACAGGCATTCTAGGGGCTCCATGGTTAAATCCTCATCTTGAAACCATCAGGATCCCATATGGGAGACAGCTCATGCCTTGGTTACCCCACTTACCATCCAGCTCCCTGCTTATGGTATGGGAAAGCAGCAGAGGATGGCCCAAACCTTTGAACCCTGCACCTACATAAAAGAACCAGGAGAAGCTCCTGGTTCCTGGTTTTGTAATGGCTCAGCTCCAGTCATTGCAGTCCTTTCAGGGAATGAACCAGTGGACGGAAAATATTTCTCTGTATCTCTCCTTCTCTCTGTAAATCTAACTTGCCAATAAAAATAAAATAAATAAATAAAAATAGAGGAAAGAGCCCAGCGTGATGACCTAGAAGCTAAAGTCCTTGCCTTGAAAGCGCCAGGATCCCACATGGGCGCCAAGTCTAATCCCGGCAGCTCCACTTCCCATCCAGCTCCCTGCTTGTGGCCTAGGAAAGCAGTCGAGTTTGGCCCAAAGCCTTGAGACCCTGCACCTGCGTGGGAGACCCGGAGGAGGATCTGGGGTCCTGCCTGTGGATCGACGCAGCACCGGCCGTTATGGTCAGTTGGGGAGTGAATCATCGAATGGAAGATGTTTCTCTCTGTCTCTCCTCCTCTCTGTATATTTGACTTTGCAATAAAAATAAATCTTTAAAAAAAAAATAGAGAGGGAAGACCTGAGTGTACAGATGAGCAAGGGTATCAATGAGAGGAAGTGAGCCACAGAACCATGGGGGGCAAGAATCTCCCACTGCGAAGAGTTGGCTGTGGTGTGGGGCATGTTAGGGGCAGCACATTAGCTAGAATGGCTGCAGAATGAGAGATGGCAAGCAGGAA